TTTTACACGGATTTAAAATAGAGAAAACAACATTCAGAAATAAATTTTGATTTATCATAAGTATTAACACGTTCATGAACGAGGTTGGCAAAAACAGAAACGCCTGACCACATTGTGGTCATGCCGCAATGACTATCTTGAACTGAAAGTTGTTTCTCTATATGCGTCGTGTCCGTTCGTTTTCCATTTGAAATAAAGTCATGTGTGTGATGACCTTGCGCTTGTGAAATCGATGATAATTTCTCCCATCAGAAATCGAAGGAGCTGATCACCGATAGCCGTGCATATGCTGCACGCCATGCCGTATGAGAGCTGGCGGTGGGCCGCGGCGGCCGCGCCCTCGCCGTACTCTGCCAGAAAATATTGAGTATTCGCACAGCGGGGCCATAAGGCGCTTCATGGCTAGAAACGATAGGCCAATCCATGCGCACCCGTGCATGCGGGCGAGTATACGCATTTGCTCCGACGGGGCACAGCGCACAGCCCTGTAGTAAAAAGTGACGGTGACCACAAGCGAGGGGTCTCGCGCACTTGCGCACGCCTCGACACGACGCACCCAAGGGCGAAGACCGACTTGCCTCAGCCATTTGGACCTTGTTTGGACCGCCGTCTGAGCGCACTGACTTTCACTCATGCGACCGCACGGTCAATTTTGCCAACTACAATGCTGCCCCCTCCCCTACCCCTGCCGGCATGATGAGCACGCACTGATATGTACCTGACCTCTGACCTCTGCACACCATGAGGAGAGTGGGGCTTCGCACACACGCCATTCGAGGGGTCCTGCTAACACGTAGCTAAAACAGCTGGGCTCGACTGATGTCATACCATACGATTCGAACTAATACATTTCTCCCCAAAACATCAGCTATCCTGCATAATTTTGATGTTTGCAACCTGTTTAAATTTACTTAAGTAATCAGTAATTGTAGAAGTAGCTGTAATTAACAAGGTAATGTTCGGGATTCGGGCCACTATTTTGGGGACTGGAGAGCCCCTCGACTTGTGCATGAGCACGACCACGCTGTACATGCTGTACATATTACCGAACTCCGAAAATGCTTTTCGCCTGTCCGTCTCCAGTCTACCACAAAGGCCCCCCCTCCCCCTA